TTTTATTATTTTTATTCCTTGAACATTAGAATCTCACACTGCAGAACAGCAAATAAATAATTTCTGGGGTGTTGGCTAAAAATACCCTAGGCTGAGATTTCTTTGCAGATACTAGGACAAGTTCATAAGCTTTTCACTAAGAAAAAAGATACACCAAACTCAGCTGAAAAATTATTTCAAATTAATCCAGTTCATTGGGATTTTTTTTAGATCGATTATCTCAATGGATAAATACAGTTTCAAATAACCCCTCTCAGAAATTTGTTAATGAAAACTTTCTATTGTTCCCACTAAATCTTTTATTCAAGAAAATCTAAAGAAAATGGTTTACCTCAGGGCATCAAACTTGAGTTTGAATACTCTGGCTTTTAGAGGCATTTTGAGTCACTGCCAAACTAAAATGCATTTTTCTGCTGCAACTGCTCTGTGGGAACCATAATGATCAAGAAAAAAAATCCCAGAGAAACTCCCCAGAGAAAACAGTTGCTCCAGGAACAAAGGAAGGAGGGAAGAACGAGAGATGTTGGAATAGGATCATCCTTACCTCCTCAGCTATCTGACATTAAAATTGATAAGGAGAAGTATCCATGTTATGACAGCCTTCATGCTTTCACAAATGTAATAAATCCAAATAAAATGCTCCTGCCTGTAAGTTTCTGTGAACCATGACAAGTTTGGAAGTACCTGTTTCTTACTTTGCTGAAGGCATCAGTTTGGGATCTGATAGCATCAAGAAACTAGAGCTTACCCAGGCTTGGTGTTTATACTATCAAGGTCCTTGATTAAACATTGTATAGTACTAGATGCAAGACGGAATGCTCTTCAGTGTATCTTTCCAGTTTAACTTTCATACATATTTCGTGAGTTTTCCATGAAGTTTTGCAAAGCTTCAGACACCCCACATTTCCCTAGCGTTTCAGAGATTGTGTCAAAGCCACAGTAAAGAGCAGTACATTACATTAATGGCTGCTCTCCTGAAAACAAACCTCTAGCTACGTCATCAAACAAAACTAAGTAACTTTGACGTTATTTGGTGAGTACTGACTCTTTCTGTTTTCCTCCCAGTGCTTACAATTTGACTATTTTTCCAGGATATTCTGAGAAGTGCAATCAGGGTAACCGATTTATAACACTGCAACTTCTCTTACCTTCTGAAGACAAGCAAATGTTTGACCTTTTCCCATCCTCCACAGGTTCTCAGAGATAATTGCTAATACCTCCGAGGTTGATACTGTTCCTTAAGTGCCCTGGGATGAATCAGCCCAGCCAATTTGAAAACACCACATTTATCTAGTTATTTTCTAACCTCTTCTTCCTAATCTAGACAGAAATCTTCCATGAACATCAGTGGTGTTAAACATACTGGCCTCTGGATCACCATTGCCATTTTCATTGACAACCAAAGCCAAAAAAGGGTTTATCTGCTTTATCTGTCTTCTAGCTGATACTGGAAAAATTAAAATTCTCAATAGCTCTAAGGCTCTCTTCCTGGAACTGCTTTGTTTTTCTTACCTTTCTCCTTTCCTTAGAATTCTTCTTTTTTATTATCACCAGGTAAAAAAAGGAGTGCTAAGCCAAGGTATATTTTAAAAGATCTCTGCACTAAGCAGTGATCTACTTTTCTTATCCTCTTACCTCTGAGAAAATGCTTTCTCCTCTGTTGAGTAAAGATCTATGAACAGGATAACATTTTACCTGTTAATTTCAGGAAAATCATGTTTTAACAAAGTTAAAATTCTCACAGAAAACCTTTTATTTCCACCTGATTTTGGGAATAAAACAAGTTGAACTACATGCATTGTGATTTATAGCCATGTATAGAATTATAGCTTTATCTCTCCAGATGCCTTTAAAGACATAATTAAATTTTTTCTCTTTTTGTATTTTTGGCTCAATTTTATACATAAGGAGATTACCTCTCACACCTGCTGACATGAGCTACTCCGGAGACAAAGAGTTGTGAAGCCGCCTTCAGCAGATAACTCCTCTGGGTTCAGAGTGTCGTTGCAGAATTCATTGGAAAGGGAGACAGATGAGCATCGTGGTATTGCAAGGCTCTGACCATCTCCAAGAGCTACACGAACCCAAAATCTTCAACTTTGCCTCTTTACATTTTCTGTATTTTCCTTTATAGCCACATCTTCAACTGTGTGGTCAAACAGTTGCATGGTGCTGCTCTGGGGAATCACAGGGGAGGAGCTCAGCAACGAGGGGAGGACGGGAGGATGAAGGACAAAGCAAAGAGTTCCACACCTGATAAAACCTGTATGCTGACGCCTGACCATCTTCCATGTTTGTAAACAAAACAGAACTTCCAGTTTGTTTCAGGAAAATAAAGTGTGGCCTAACCAAGTCAGTAAGTCCCTCTCCCTGCAAGTCGATCCTCCTTGACTGGTCACCCAGGCCAGCTCCCAGTAATTCTTCAATGTTCTATCTACAAGGATTTAAGTTTTGAAGTGCAATCTAAAAGGTGCAAGACAGAGACTGACCTACATCCTGATGTGATAATGCAGGAGAACAGCAGCCCTTTAAACGGGGCTCCATGCCAAGTCAGCTTTACAGGCTAAAAGCAACTAACCTCAGCCATCGCAGAGAAAGTAAAAAAAGGTGACGATCTGGGAGCAACAAACTGAGCTGTGGACCAACACTAGCGGGCTGCTTAGCATCCATGATACAGAGGACAGAGAGGGTGTCAATCCCTCTTGTCTGTCCCAAAAAGGGAGCCTGAACAAGCCATGAGAAATAATGTAGAAGCAATAAACAAGAGCAGAGAGGGGAATGGAGACGGTGGAGGTCACCAAGACACCCCTTTCCCTTGAGAGCAGCAGCCCTGGAGCTATACGGCTCAGCAGCCTGATGGAGGAGGAGGCACCACACAACCAAGGCTGAGGCAGTTGACATGGAACAGGGGAGTGGCAGCTGGGCTCCTCTCAGAGCAGCTCTAAGCTTTGTTGGCCTTCTGTGACAACATCATCTGGGCTTTAAGTGGCTTTTAAGCTCAAAAAGACCAGGCTTTATTAGAACACAAGCTAAAGTGAATCACTTGTAAAGTAGGTCAGGCAAGAACAGAAATGCAAAGGCTCTGAAAAGCATACCTCTCCCACCTCCCTGCTGTGAGCCTCCCACTGATGTCCTGCTGCCTCCCCTCTGTGCTGGGCTTCCTCTCCCGGGCATCTGTGCACAACGGATTAGAAATCATCAGCAAGCAGTTCCTGTCACAGATAGACATTAGCACAACCATGTGTGAATAACCTACCCAGGTATGACGTATAGTTTTCCCCTGAAGCACCCTGCACGTCTCCTCTTGAGCATCTGGACAAGTGGTAGCTATGTCCATTGTTTTGGGTTCAGGGAACTCATCTTGCTCCGACTGCATATGGGCCTTCCTGGGCAAGCTTCCACCTCGAGCCTACTTTTGGAAGGCTATCTGGGGAAGCACATGGCCATCAGGAGTGACAGCATCACATAGCAATGACGTTAATGCCTGTAATGCTACTGATGTTTCCAGCTTCATTTTTAAGAAGCAATAACAGCTCCAACATCCCCAAATCACAGCATTTTCTGCTTTACCTTATCTATCCGTGCACACATGCAAATCCACAGAGACTTTGACATCAGTTTTTAACAGGGCACACAGTTTTCTGTCAAATAAAATGTCAGGATGTGATCTACCATATTTCACTAGTGCTATTCTGCCATTTAATTTAATAACAGCTAAATATCAAGTGCTTGCTATTTTGATGCTGTGTTCCATCAGCTATTGAATTAGAAATAATGAGACAGGTCTAAATTTGTGATTCATGGTAAACTGTCTAAACTAATCTCAATCACACAGTGGCCGACATCTAGCGATAACTGATTTAACAGATGATCGTCTGTTTAGCTGTTCTATCCTCTCTCACAGAAATAGGAATATTAATGAAGGACAAGTTCACTTAGACTTTAAAAGTCTTTTCCAGACAGTATAAATAAATTTATATTCACCACAAGAACCATTTTTTTTCCTTTTCTGCTATTATAGACTCTTTCATTGACTTTGACTGGCATTTTGTATATACAACAAGCCTTTGCAGCTTCAGCTATACTGCTGAACTTCTGTGGTGATTAAAAAGTATCTCTGGTGTTTTCCATGTATATTTTTCAATTTACCATCAGCTCTAAATCCAGCAGGCTCCTCAACCCAAATTGCTCCTTGGAGGAGCCCCTTGCACCTGCTGTAGCAACTACCCAGTGCTGATCCTAACAGGAGTCAACCCACAGGAGTAAACAGTTGCTCAGTTAGAAAGGACTTTCCGGAAATTAACTTGGCAGAATTTTAAAAAATTAAAAGTATTTGCCCTAAAAGAAATCCTCTCTCTGTATCTTCACTCTGTGACTGAGTTTCAGTCTGCACCTTTTCTCTGCTGGACTCAAACCAATTATCCTCTGGTAGATTTAAAGATGCCATATACATATTCTGCTGGGTCAAATCTAGAAATTCTCAGTGAACTGTAATTCATCCATAAATAAAACCAGTTGCTAATTTTTCCTTCATATCTTTTATTAGTGACCATCAACAAAAAGCTGACTGAAATGTTACAAGTGATGACAGTAATATAAAGAGGCAGATTTTTCCAGGTATGTTTTACTAAACTCCATTGCTTTTGAAAACAGGATAACTCAGAGATAATTAATTAATTCTTGAAGTCTGCCAGTCAGTTTTGTCATTTTCTCACCAGTGTACCAGATTTAAATCTGCCAGGCCAGACAGCAACTGCATGATGCCTTTATGGCTGAGAATGATGGTGTGCTCCAGATCAAAAGAACTTTTACAAGAGAAAAAAAATAGATCACCTTCAAGTGCAGATAACAGGGTCTGGACAAAATTATCTGCTGTGGATAAAAGGTGGCTTTTGGAGCAGAAATTCACATCCAAGACAAAACAAGTTATATGGTCTCAAGACATATATTCACAAAAGTAAATAAGATTTCTTAATAGATGGTCTGTGACGTGTTGCACCCTAGCGTGGAATGGCACAAACCCTGTATGGGTGGGGCTGCAGCGTACCCCCAAAAATGGGCTCTGTGTTGATCTTCATCACCCCCTCAGGGAGCCGGAAGGTGAATGCCCGCAGCAGGTTGGCAAAGAAAATGAAGAGCTCGGTCCTTGCTAGGTGCTCCCCCAAACACACACGGTGCCCTGCAGAAGGAAGGGGGAAGGACAGTGAGTAAATTACCCTGAACTTAAAAGGAATTGTATTCATTCTCACACAAAGCAAAGGTATTTTTGCTGAATCCGGAATTTCTTTAGGACTTAATGCAATCAGTAACACAAAACTTCATGTAATTCTTCCTTTAAAGAATCCTATCTGCAGCTATAGATAACTGTGCACCCCTTCTGCTCTGAGTTTTGCTTCAATTACCTCAAAAACCTCATCTTCATTTGACAGGAATTTGTTCAATCATGTAAATGAAGAATAAGGACTTGCTCTTCCTGGAAGATGTCATGCTCCAGTTTTGTATGCATAAAGCATCAGCACAGCTGCTTGCAAGTACTTTCCAAATGTACATCTGGTGTTGGAATGTATGCCCCAAATCAACAACCGTGATCATTAGCAGAGAATTTCCTTCCAAATGTACGCATTTGTCAGGACATCTCTGATTTTCCATATTATTATTTGTTTAGTAGAACAAATGTTTAGAATTGGGTGGGGAAATGTTACTTAAAATAATCATGTTGATCTTATCACTGTTTTCCACAAAGAGGTTTGAAATAAACAACCAATAGTTTTTTTCGTAGACATCTTAATTCTACAGTGCTAATCCAAGCCATTAATGTTTGTGCTGTCAGTCCATTTACCTATTGAGAATGGTAAAAAGGCTTCTTGGCTCACGAAGTTTCCATCCTTATCCAAGAAGTGACCAGGGTTGAACTGTCGAGGTGTTTCCCAGTGCTCTGGGTCATACAATGACGAAGCAATATTTGGAAGAACTATGGTGCCCTGAAAGGAGAAAACCACTAACAGTTCTGGCTGTCAGTCCTCCCCAGCAGTCAGAACCAGCTAGATGAGACCAGTGTCAGTTTGCTTTCAGAGTTCAGTTTTGGATGCTGGTAGGTTCATCTCCCCAGTAGGAACTGCAAGGAACATGACAGAATGTCAGTCCAAGCCTGGCAGTGGAAGTGGCCATGTCAACAGAAACTAACAACTTTATTTGTACTAAACCCATTTTCACTTCTAACATCAGAAGTTTCCGTGTTTTAGTCTCTCTGATGAAAGCTAGTTGCAAACCTTCATGCTTTTCCCTGGATCTTTTAAAGGTGTTCTGCAAGCAAAAATTCAGTCAGAAATCTTTCAAATGTCTTATTAGTACAAAGCAATCATGGTATCCTTCAGTATCAATCTCTAAGGTTTTGTCTTCATTGGTTTGTAGAAACCCTTGCTAAAATCCCCTCTTCCGTCCACAGGTATCATTCACTACTGATAACCTGTCACTCAACTCAGCCTGGCAGATGGTTTCTTGTCCTTGTTCCCATTCATGCTATGACCCAGAGGTTTCCAACCCTGCTGCTGTTGAGGAGAAGACCCTGGCACAAATAGATTTGAATCTGCACGTTGCTCTACTGATGTAGGAAAGGCCTGTAGCAATTGAAAAACTGTGTCTGTACCTTTTTGAGGGGAAAGCCGAGCAATACAGTGTTCCTCACACACACTCTGGGCATGCCAACTGAGATAATATTGCTGAAGCGCTGAACCTCATGAATCACAGCGTTTGTGTAGGGCAGTTCTCTTCGATCCTCATAGCAGATTAACTGGGAAGGACCCAGAACAGCATCCAGCTCCTTCTGCACTTTCTCTGTGGAGGAATATTCACCATTGCAGGTGGAAAAACGTATCACGTATTTTCACTAATTCCATTTTCAAAGACATTTCTCATTTAAAGCTACAAGGACAGCAACAAAATTAATGTAAAAATGTAAGTAACTTTTATAAAGAAAATAAAAGCAGCACAGTGTTCCAACAACTTAAACATATGGGAGCTCTATTTCCGGGTCTGAAGTTATTGGACCGTAGATTAAGAAAAGACATTTGTGCTCAAAAGTTGAGAACTCTTAAAGAGTTGCCTTACCAACACTTAAATGCAAGAGATGACTGATTTATCTTTGTGTTCTCTTTTGGCTAGGTGCCTCAAGCACCTACAGCCAGTTAGAACCACTAAGCTCATAGCTCTCTGAAATTTAAACCAGGTGAAACTGGGCCTTAAAAGCCTAATTCCTGTTAAAAGGAAATGGTTCTTGTGCAGGATGTCTGTTACATGAAGCAATGCTGTCTAGAACAATGTCCGAACACCTTTAAAAAAATCTGGATCTGCTTCTTGGCACCTGCCTTTCGATCAAGAATAGCATGATTTAAATTACTTATTGCACAGGAGTGCTGGGAGCATGAACAGAAGTGTAAAATTTGTTTTGTAAACTTCAAGAGAAGCAGTACACACATAATAAAAATGCCTTAGATTTTTAACAAATGATCTTGTCTTTTTCCAGGCCCTTTGAAGCAACACTACAATGCAGGGAAGCCCGTTCTGCATTGATCAGTTTGTGCTCATTCACATCAAGCCTGCTCAGTGACTGCCAGCAGCCCTTCACAAAACTGTTAGGTAGACCCAGACAACAGAGATTTAAGCACCATACAGAATTAAAAATGTATATCCAGAAAGATTGTTAAGTAAAGTAAATTTCCTTCTATAAAAACTAGCTTGGAAAATCAAGCACAACTACTTCAGGATCCAGTATATTTTGAAGTGATCAGTCACTGCGTAAGTGTAAACATGCATCTCTGTTCCAGTAGTTCAGAGAACAAGGAGAGCCCAATCCAGCGATAAGGCAAAAGGCCAAACTTTTCCATATGGTACATAATGGAAGTGCGTAACATTGTCATTGGGTGTCAACACAGGCAAAAGTATGAATGGGTTCAGAAAGAATCCACCAATTAAATGAGGACAGATGCAGAGGTGCCAGTTGATTATGAGAGTTTAGATGCAATATATGACTCAAGAAGCCCAGGAAGGATCATTCTGCACACACTCTGCTTTCTGGAATATGTACAAGGTATTATATTTAGATAAATAAAATTATTTAGGTGAGTCAGCACTTTCATAACCTTAATTACATTAGGTGATAATAAACATGCAATAACACAGGATTAAGTAGACCTTCTTGTCTGAAAGCTACAAGTTGAGCAATTTTTTCTTATCTTCATCTCTTTCCTCTGTTTGAAATCTTGTTCTCCTCTGGGTATTTGCACATATTCTGCTATCTAACAATGAGATTTCTGTTATCCAGCATAAGAGATCATTCTTTCTTTGGTTTTCATTTAGTGCTCTATGAAAGTGATTGATGGTTATTTAAAAGCTAGACTTAAAAATAAACTTCTTATGTCTATGTATACTTAACAGATGACCCATCAAATTCTCCTCCCAACTGGAATAATTTCTGTTGCAAGAAACTCAATCACAGAGTTAATTTAATCACAGATTAAATAGACACCCTGATACCTTGGGATCATAAATGGACTGATGGACAAAAATAAAGTCCAAGTTGCCAACTGACCTTTAGGTGATTATCTTTACTACTCCTGTGACCTACAGAGCACAAAGAAGGGCAGGGCTCCCTGTAACCCCCATTACTGATACTCAGCCAATACAAAGCAGAATTGAAGTCAGTTTCCAAAGAGTGACGTCCCTACTATCACATGTCAGTTTCTGGTTAATTATTTTCAGCCATTGGTTGGTTTGTGATTAAGGCAGAACCCAACTCAGTTTCTTGAAGGACCATCAGCACCTCACAAGCAGCTACAGCAGTGGCCACTGTTCCTTCAAGGATTATGCATGCAAACCTTCTGGATTCCCAAACAGCAACTCCAGTCCTCTTACTCCACTGACTACCCTACCACAATCTTAATTTCCCCAAAGGCCTCAACCTCTCCATCTCAATCAGCCGCAACCTCCCATACATATGCATACTTCCCAAACTGTTACCTCTTCCTGGGAGCTGCCTTATGCTTGTGACTGCTCTAAGAGCCTGTATACAGGTACTCTGGATCTACCAATGCTGCCCAGTGCAGATCTACCAGTACAAAAAGGTCCATGTGCTACTAGCCATATACCAGTATCTAGGAATAATCTCTGATCCATGAAAATGTTACGCCTTGACCGCTCTATTGCATCAGAGATATTTGTGATGTGCTTATCCACGCACCTTGGATGTCTGGATTTGCCACCATATAGAGCAGGCCCCAGTTCAAAGTAGTGCTTGTTGTCTCTGATCCACCCAAGAAAAGGTCATTTATAGAATAAACCATGTTGTCTTCATTGTATGTAGACCTGGGTTCATCTTTGGACTGCAAATGATAAGAAAAAGTAGAGGTTTATACATGAAAGTTAGAAAAACCAGAATAGGTTTAAATGTGATTTTATCACTGGTTCCAAGCTGCAGTGTGTTCTGCCTATAGTACAATACAGAGAGACTGATAAAGAATATTAGACACCAAAAATTATTATCAATACAAAAAGCCAACATTTCACAAATGGACAAGTCATGTTTACTCCACTTTTAATCATGAAGCTAAATCACCTGATCTCCACAGAAAAGGATTGTTGGCTTACTTGTGCAAATAGTGGTACATTTAGAATGTTTCATAAGTAAATGTTCCTCTGAAGATGTGTACCAGCATGTCATTATTCATGCCTCAAGTCATATTCCATCAATTAGTTTTTCTACCAAGCAATACAGTGACCAGGTAACAAACACTGGGCTGCCAAAAGTTCTTAACCTGTGGTATTCCGTTTTCTTCACGACAAGGCCACAATGACTCATGTACAGCTGCTCTGGGGTTTTACAGTTTTCAGTGAGAAGTGTGAGGACATGTATGTATATGCTGAAAGCATGAAAAAATATTGTTATGGTTTGGGGGAATTCATTGTCTAAATTTAAGGAGGTTGTGCTCAGGGGTCTTGAACCTTTCCTTTGCCAGTGGAGCAATTGGAAAGAGGGAAGGATGTTTTTCCCTTTTGTAATATCATCTAATCTTTTTATATTGCCCCTGTGTATCTATTACAGGCAGCTCAATTTTTTTAATAAACAAACTTGGATGATTTCCACCCAGCAGAGTCCCAGAAGTGTTCACTGAAAAATTTCTGGTCCACTGATGTTCAATTCTCATAAATCTTAGAACAGCAGTGAAAGACTTTAGAACCAGTTAAATGCTTTGGAAGACCAGATGTGTTAATATTGTGTCAGTATCAAAAAATTTAAAACGAGGATCCAAGGAACTAGAGGCCAGATAAGATGACATCCACCCTGGACCTAAAAATAAAGCAGTTGATATGGAAATCAATTAGTAAAGAATTACCAGCTAGAAATACAAATTAATGTAATTTATTATGCTATAGAAAACTGATCTCAGCAAGAAGATCTGATTTGATTCTTTGATTACCATCTTAGACAATAATGGCAATTTCACAGTTACAATATACTTGGAATTCCACAAAATAGTTGCTTTTGCTCCCCACAATAATAAAAAAAATCAAGCACTATAAAGTATTCATAAGACACTTGCTAAAAGACTAAAGAGCTGGCCGACAAAAAGAGCTAACAGACATTTTTCCCTGGGTGCACGTGTCTCTAGTGTGATCGAGCACAGCAGGAGAGCCAGCTCAGGGAGTACACAAGCCAGGCGGCAGTCCAGGATGGCAGACCCGTTTTGGCTGTGCCAGGAGATACAGGATGGGTGCCGTCACCCTGACGAGGGTGCAGTGCTCTCTGTTGCTGCAACCAGCATGTGACCACGGCAGAAGGAGCACCGGTTGTCCTGGCAGGGCAGCGCTGCCACCCAGGAGCAGCAGTTACTACCCACTTCTCCAGGGCTGCAAGAATAGATACCCCCAACCCTGGATATCTCGTTTGGCTCTCTGAGCCACTCTTGCCTTGTCATCCCCCAGTATCACCAGTCTCATCTTGTCACTTCCTCCCCCTTCTCCTTTTTCTTCCTATCACCAGGAGGAGGAATATGGCCTACTGCAGTGGAGAAGAGGAGAAAGAAAGAGTGATTAAATGGAGGTAGAAAGAGTCACAGAGGGAAGGACAGCTGCTAACCCAGGGGGTACGGAGGGGATCCAGTTCCCAAGAGATTCAGACAAAGTGATCCTGGTAAGGTCTAGGAAAAGGAGAGATACGTGTCCCTGCTCACAGCTTATGCAAGCCTCCTACAGCCTTTCAAAACCCTGCTGATTCCCACTTACCTCTACTATGTGTGCCTGCCCAAAATGCCGTTATTTGTCCCAGTTGCCTTTGCTTGAAACTTCACTGACTCTGGCACTCTCCTCTTCTCCAGCCTTGTCTGAAACTCCACTGACTCC